CTAAAAATATATAGAAAATAAATGGTTTCAAATAAACAAACCAAGGTGATCCGGGTACATTGTGAAGGATGTCCGCACTGAGATTTGTAGTCCCTCTACAGCTTGGAGTCAGTAGTGGAGTGCCAGGGTCCAGCGGCTACGCCGCTGGTAGTTCTGCCACTGACTCCAAGCTGTAGAGGGACGAAGAATACCATCAATATATTATAAAAACAATGCAGAATAGCACCAGCTATAGAGCACTACAAATCCCAGCAACACATTATACATCTGCGGCGCCGTGCCTGCGGGGGCACACGTAGCGAAAGTAGAATTAATCTCTCAGGGTTTTTTTTTGCATATATCTACTGCAAGCAAGCAAGCAGTAGATATATGCAAAAACATTTTTTATAAAAAATTTTAAAAAAAAAGTTACAAAAAAACCCCCCCAAAAAAACGTAGATCTGTCTCCGCCGCTCGCTCCCGTCTGAAGATCTTAAGCTTCAACCTTCAAAGTCGCTCGAGATGGGGCGGGTGCATACGCAGTAGAGATCTTTGGCGGAGAGACACAGTGGAGCTGAATGCACACAGCCTGGAGCGTGAACGTCAAACAGACACAGTGGGACAGGAAGAGACAGGATTGTGCGCTGGATCAGAGACCGGCACTAACGCTGGAGGGACTGCTGAATACAAGTGGAAGGGAGAAGAAGATTGGATAAAGCGGCATCTTTTAAAGGCAAGTCCCTAAAGCAGCATGGGGGGTCTTGTAAACCTGATGTGTGCTACTCCTGTACAAAACCCTAAATTGTGTTCAGCTGCATCCTCTGAGTAAAACAATACCCCCAATGTATACCATGCACAAGCACACGCAGTAGAGATCTTTGGCGGAGAGACACAGTGGAGCTGAATGCACACAGCCTGGAGCGTGAACGTCAAACAGACACAGTGGGACAGGAAGAGACAGGATTGTGCGCTGGATCAGAGACCGGCACTAACGCTGGAGGGACTGCTGAATACAAGTGGAAGGGAGAAGAAGATTGGATCAAGAGGCATCTTTTAAAGGCAAGTCCCTAAAGCAGCATGGGGGGTCTTGTAAACCTGATGTGTGCTACTCCTGTACAAAACCCTAAATTGTGTTCAGCTGCATCCTCTGAGTAAAACAATACCCCCAATGTATACCATGCACACCGTTATGTGAAGTGACATATAAGCTTTTCACGTGTGAATTCATAGATGGATCTATGTCTCCTTTTGGGGCATCTTAGCAGTTTGACAGTTAAATTCACCCCACAAAGGCCTACCATTTGTGAAAGTAGACACTTCAGGGTATCACATATACAATTTTCTACATTGTTTATTGTGGGACACAACACTGAATACAAGGCCAGTGGAACATCCAAAAGCAGTATCTAATGAAGGGTGCGCACCACAAGTACACCACAACACCAAAACAACCAGGTAAGAACCTTGCCTCCATAACTAAAGAATGATTCACATAGCGGCCTGCAAAACCTTACCGTTGATGCTGGTATCCATTGATGAAGTCACGTCCACAGTGTAAAATTTTGTAAAAGCGTTAACAGAAGCACTCACTGCCCTGGTGGAATGTGCAGTGGCAGAAAAAGAGGGATTCCACTGCTTCAATGCGTAAACCTGAAATTGGTTTGACTGATCAATCTAGAAATGGTTGCAGATCCCTTAGGGCACATGTGTCAAACTCAAGGCCCAGGGGTCGAATCCGGCCCACGAGGCCATTTCCTAGACTTCTACTTTCAGATCTAGGTATTAAGTTATTACTAAAACCAGTGATAATCGAATGCAGAGGCAATTATGATAAAGATTAGATACATTTATATAGTCTTAGATAACTTTGAGGGCAACCATAATGTTGATGCGGACCACGATTAAATTGAGTTTGACACCCCCTGCCTTAGGGGGACCATCTGTGAGAACACACAAATAATTCTTCTTCTTAAAGCAGTGGCATTCAGGTAAACCCTGACTACACTAACCATGTCCAGGGAATGCAAGACAATCCCTGTAAGATGGACCAAAATGCTGAGGAAAAGATGCCCTTCCTCCTTTAGGACACTGGGCTCAACTGCCCCTTTCCTTTGTTTTACAACCCACTGCCCAATCCTCCTGAAGCAGCATGTGGTCTATTGTGTCCCTCTGTGGACAATGAAGAAATATTTCACTCAGGTTCAATAATACAATCATTTTTTCCGTTCTCTTCAGTATCTTTTTGATGGTTATAATCCTTTGGGTTCGTTGGAGACAGATCTGCCTTTTAAAAAGTTCTCCCACCTTGGCACAATCAGTTTAATGGGGCATGTATGAGAGAAGACTAAACAACTTTTACGAACTTCAGGTCTCACTAGATATACCCCGATTTGGAACAATGGTAGACTTCCGGCGATATCCAAGTTGCAGGGCTTTAGGAACTGGCGGCAGGCTGGGGTGTGTAGAGAGTCGAGTTATATGTTGATAATGCTCTCTGTTCATTTCAACAATTGCAATCCCAATTTGGATTGCCTCAGACTGCTTTCTACCAATATTTGCAACGTAGACATGCCTTGACTTCCCAATTTGGTAGTGCCTCCGCATAGTTCCATTCAACACCGGTTTTGGATACCCTGGTTGCTGCTTGCAATACCAAGGGTATTATTTTCTATGTATATACCCGCTTAATAACTAACTCGATGTTACACTCACCTTTTAGTGTTAGGGGTAAGTGGGAAGGTGATCTAGGCCCTATTACAGATGAGGACTGGAGTAGAGAGGGCTGTTCTATCTGCACCCTTATTTACTTTCCATAGACTTATTAAATTGTTTATTTTACATAGGACTTATCGCACTCCAGAGTTTCTGTTCAAAAAAGGTGTCAGGAACGATCCTTCATGTCCAAAATGTGGTTTTCACCAAGGTTCACCGATACATCTATTGTGGATAGATATCTGGTTAGATATTGGGGTGCAGTGCTTCAGATCATATACTCAGTCTTTGGTATATTGTTAAATAATACACCTGGAGTATGCATACTAGCAGTTTTTGATGCCTCGGCGATGAGTTCATATACCAAATTACTGTTTATTGTGATTGGTGACGAGGAAATAGATATTTCTCCCCACCATCACTATCAGAATGGATGAGTTAGATCAGATGGTAATGTTTGACCGTACTACTTATCAATATAGAGGAATAGGGGAGGATAAGTTTTCCTTATATCGGTCTAGATGGATACAATACCGTATACAACAAAGAAATGTGTGAATTCTTATATAATATTATCAGTTAGACATATGAGGGAAGTTTAGGAGAGCCTAAGCTGTAATTGGAGTGCTTTAGCTGTGCTCTAAAAAGGTATACATGTGTTTAGGTGATTAGATTTAAATGATCCAGTTTTTTCTTTTTTTTTAATTATATATATGGTGGTTGATGTATTTGTTTTTGTATTTATATGTTAGATGGTATGTTTATTATTTGTGTATTGCTTGAATTGTTATGCATTTTTTCTTTTTTATGGGATGTTTGTTGGAGGAAAATATTTTTAAAAAAAAACAAGAAGTATCTGAGAAGATTTAAAAAAATAAACAAAATACACACACACACACACACACACACACACACTATATTTAAAATGCACATATTTAAAAGATATTTGCTGCATATACCAGCACAAAGAATGGGGGGGGGGGG